AAGAAAAGAAATTAAATGATAACCTACTGTTAATATTGTTATGAGCCAATTAAATTGATCATTAGTTTCTGATCTTGTAAGTTATGGATTCCTTAAAAATCACTGACTTTTGAGAAGTAACTTGTGTATTAAAATTAGGCCTTGGAGATGGAGTCCTCGGAGTATGGGTAGCAGGGTGGTTTGTAATTTTGTAATTATCACAGTCGATAATTTACAAACGTTGATGAATCTTATTTGATGTTGTTAGAATTTTTGACAATTGAGAAATAGTATTTTTAATACAACCGCCAACAAAAAAAAAAAAAACAAAAATTAACTGAAAATCTTCAAAGAAATCTTAAAAAAAATCCAATGCTATTTACTTCTATTATCATAGCTCACTGTTACTTTAGATTCCAGTTGTATAAAAGAATATGAAGCTTACTATAAAAGCGCAGAAGTGGAATTGACAATAATGATATATCTTGTATTATACGACTGGTTAATGCATGTGTATATTGTTCTGGTATATTTTTACCAATAAGAACTTTCCCTCTGACTCCAATCTGAATAATTTACGCCTATCCTCTTCGATATGTATCGAATCCGGATCAAAGGGCGTATCGGTTGCTTTCTTTTGTTGCTCTTCCGTTTAAATTACATGTAGTGTCTTTTAATATTGATTTACATGTTCTCGCTTTTTGTAATGATATTAATAGTATTATCATAATGGTGTTGTTTACCTTTTTTTTTTTTGATAGCTTGAACCAAAAGAAATAGAAAGATTATTATTTGACTCATACTCATAACAAGCATGTCGCTTTTATCACGAAATAGTATCACATATCGAATCAATCAAAACTTACATCATAATTAGATTTACGCCGTTTTCTTTTATCGATCTCCTGGTAAAATTTACAGAGACACCTTAATTAGTGATGCGGTAGAATCGTCCCAATGCTTGTCGTAACTAGTTACGACATAAGCTTTAGCCGTAACTAGCTTATGATCATACCGCAACACTAATTTTAATATTAATTCATATGTCATCACTTACATCGGTACTAATAACCTCTTCATGATCCGAATCAGAAAAGTCAGTTCCATTCAATTTTTGTAATCAACAGGTTTGGATTTCTGAGTGCCCTTTTAGAAGTCTCCCCAAACTAAGAGAAGCATAAAAAATATATCCATGACCAAAAACCAATATTCCATTTTTTGAATACTCACCCATACAATATTACAAGAATAAATCATGTGACAAAAACATAACATTTCCTATCGCGTCAATCACTTCAACAGATACAACTTTCACGTATTTTTTGCGTTTCGTCAATAGTTTACTTAACTAATTTTTGCATTAAACATTGTTACTCTAGTTCTTATTAAATAAATACAGTGTTGATCAAAAGTTTTGCATCGTTTGAAAGAAAAAAGTTAAGTTTAAATATCTTCTTAGTGATAAGTTAAAATAATTTTTTTTTTTTTATTTTATCGAAACCAATCACTAAAATTATGGCGCAATTGGATCACATGATCTTGCACCACCTATTAGAACATTTTATTTTACGGGTTACGGTACGATTCCCCGAAAACTATTTACACGAAATCACATGAAGTGAAAATTTACTAATAAAATATACCTATAGCTAACTAATGCTAAATTGTCACCCTATGTGATATTGGGTAAATGGACTGTCGGGTAAGTAGTTTTCGGGAATTGAGCGACAACCATTTTACGTGATATAACTTCGCAGCAATCGTCAGTTGATTTGTAAATATTGAATGTTGGCATTTTAACTAGCCTTTATCTAATAAATAAAGTTTGTAGCAAAGTTATTTTTTATAACTATTGTTAATAGAAGTATATTGGTTTTCTTATTAGTTTTTGAGTAATTAGATGTGCTGATTAAGGACCAAACAGTGTGAAGAAAATTTAATTGATCGGTCACAATATAGTACTCTACAATATCTCAATAATTATATACTGTATTTAAAATCGATAAAAAATTTTTATATGAATTCATAAAATTACAACTGTTTTCATAAATTCTGTGACACCTGAAAAAATTGCTCTTTCCCGAAATCTCTTCTGTTCTCAGAACTTTGATCAGGAGACAGCGATGTAGTTCCCAAAAAGTTAGGTAATTCTTAGAATGGGATCGAGGAAATTTCGGGAAAGAGCAATTTTTTCAGGTGTCTAGGATTTATAAAAACAACTGTAAAATAAAAAAATTTTTTTCATCGATTTTGAATAAGTGATATCTTCATTCAAAGTTTAGAAAAAACTTTGTTGTAACTAGTCGCCTAAATGTTTTCCAAACTTTTAATTGTTTATTATTATTTAAATTCTAAGAATCCAAAGAATTGAAATAAAATAGTTTAATGAGCGATTATCGATGAAATTTTTTATTTATTTTAATTTTACATAATTCATGAAATTTAAATAAAAATTTTTTATCAATTTTGAATGGGTGGTTATTGATATATATTTGCTCAAAGTTTAAAAAAAATTTTTTAAAAGATTCTAAACAAATTATCACAAAGTTTTTTCTAAACTTTATTGCGCTTTGCAAAAAGATGTGAACACTGTAGATCATTTTTTCATGTGAGAATCGGAGATTTTGCGATTTCAAAGAACCTCAAAGATTTTTTAAATATATGTATAATGTAATATTTCTAATTAATATGATATATACGTAATTATATTATTAGTATAGATTCTTAAATTTGAATAATCTCAATGATTCTCCGCTATCATCATCACAAAAATCACATGTTCACATCTTTTTGCAAAGCGCTATAAACAAAAATATCTCAATATCTACTTAATAAAAATTAATAAAAATTAATAAAAATTTTATTTAATTTTACAATCCATATAATTGAATAAAAAAAATACTTCATTGATTTTGAATAAATAGTTGTTAAAGATATACAGTATATGCTTAAAGTTTAGAAAAAATTAGACAACAAAACAAGTTATGGTAAAGTTTTTTTTTTAATCTTTGAACGAAGCAAAGATATCTCGATAACATTCATTCAAAATTGATAAAAAACTTTTATATTAATTTTACGAATTCATAGAATTATATAAAAAATTTTATAAATTTTAAATATAGGTTATAATAATTGAGATATTGTTCGGATGAATCTACAAAACAATGTTATTAGGGATCATCGATAATTATTAATCGGTCCTATCTTTATTGCCCAAAAACTAATGTGAAAACTGGCACACTTCTAAAAAAAAATAACTTTTCTACAACTTTACCTATTAACCAAAGACTAGTTAAAAATGCTAATTTTTTTTTTTTTTTTTTACAAAACTTGCACAAAATCAGCTGACAATTTGTTGCAGGACATATTAACATTTCTAACTTATAGACATGCAAACTTTTTACTGCTACGGTAATTAAATTAAAGTAATATTTATTGAGCTAATCATCTAATCTAAAATTTCATCTCGTAAAAAAACAATTTTTTAAAAATCGGTATAAATATACTACATTTTGTGTTTCTGTAATTTGCTTCGATAATAGCAAATCACAAGCAGTTTTTTACTAAATAGTTATCTTTATAATAATGTTATATTAAACAAGTTAACAACTATTAATTAAAATATAACAAGCTTAAACTCCTACTAATACAATTTTTATAAAAATATTAGATTATCTTGTTTATTTACTTTATATAAAGAATTATATATGATTTAACAGAAAAGAAAAAAAAATATTATTATTATTAAATTACTCTAAAAAAGGCGTTATACATTTGGTGAAGTATCAACTATATGGGATCTTTACTAGGAAAATCACCTTTCGGAATTTTACGAACAGGCCAATTTGGAAAGACTTACCAGTTCTTATTTATATGTAAGTCGTCTTTTACCTTTATCGATGCAATAGTTTATTTAATGAACTATTATATCGGCAAGATAAAAGATTATTTGCATATAAATAAGAACTGGTAAGTCTCGTTAGGAAAATCCCGAAGGGTGAATTTTCCTAGCAAAGATCCTAAATATTAATATTAATATATTGATATCGATATGTATAATCACTGGTTGATTATTATAATTAATAATTATAATAAAGTATTTTGGCTATCCGCCCTTAAAAAAAAAAAGGGTTTACAATTATCGAATGACATTGTTTTTAAAAAGAAATTCTTTTACATGCCAGTTCTGATGGCATCTAAATATCTAAATATAGAATTTACTTAAATTGGTCAGTCCGTACCGTTATGAGTATTCGGGTAAAATCCCTTAAATTGAAACGATGTTCAATCTCAATAATTAAAGTAAATTAAGATATTAAAATCTTTCAATGGAAATTGTAATAAATCGTTATACGATATGATGTGACAAGACTTGCACTAAAGGTAGAGCATCTGCTCAAGAATATGACCCAATGAATTATCAAAGGTTGATTAAAAGAGCCCGAATACTCATAACGGTACGAACTGACCCAAATAGTGATTAAAGTTAATAATAATTGCCATGTTTTAAACGGTATAGAATAATCGGGAATTTAATTCCGTAATTCCGTCACAATGTTACACGTCACTGGATTGCTATTCATAGCCATAAGCAACATTTAACTATTAGTAAATTTCATGTGACTTTAAACTTGGTTTCTACGTATACGTAATATATTCCCTTTTTTGGTAAAGATTTAATTCGGAAAAATAAAAAATCTAACTATTACCGGAATTTTTTATTCTGATTTTGAACACACATCTGTATACGGAAAATTACTATTTTGGTATCTTAGACAAAGTAAAACTACGTATTCTTTAGAACGATCACTTTGTATCGGAAAAATGGGATTTTTTATTCTAGAACCTCATGGTTTCTATAATTTCCATGATTTCTTTTATAGAGTTCATTTTCATAAGGAAAATAAGAAGAAAAAAAAAGTATAAATACAAGTGTATCCATCAAACTTATTCTTACCGGAACTGTCAGAACATAAAATTCGCAATATAATAACGAAAATAATAACGAATTAATAACGAAAATGTCTGACATAATTCCTCGACCTCAATTTCCTCCCAAATTTCTTAACTTTGAGGAAATAATTAATGAATCTCTTAGAAAACATAGAACTGGACGAAGTTCAAAAACCCCAAATGCATTTCTTCTTTATCGAAAAGAATGTACGGCAACATTCAAAAATTCAAATAAACATATTTCGACGTTATCTAGTGAAGCATGGAATACCGAAGCAATTAGAGTAAAAAATGCATACAAGAAATTCGCTGATGAGATTAACGAAAAAGTGAGAAAGCAAATACCGTTTTGCTTTGTTGGTAATAGAGGAATAGATGAACCCGATAATTATATTTATGAAATTCATAATGAAGATTATAATCGAGACTTGGTTAATTACGTCGAAAATAACGAAAACGTGACCAGTTATTCTCAATCCGAAGCCATAAATCCTAACTTCGCTTATTATATGCTTTAAATATATTCAAAAAATTAAAATTATATAGATAATAAGAAATATGTATATATAGATTTTTTTTCTAAAATAAAATATATAGCTTAACATGCGCAAAATATGAATTATTATTATTATTTTTTCTTATTTTAACTTTCGTTAGCTACCATATATATAGACTTCAGAACATTGTTAATCTCTCTCTCTCTCTCTCTAATAAAAAAATTTTTTTTTCTATTATTTTCTTAACAATACTAAGTTTCTAAAATGATTGAAAATATATATAATCTTGGTTAAGTGTTAAAAGCAAAAGCAAAAAAAGGCTTTATAATTCTATTGAGAGAACCTCAACTCATAACAGCTAATTTTAAGAATTTATTATTTGATTTTAAGACCATACAAACGATTTTTATAAATAATTTAGGGAACTGATACCCTAAATCGATATTGTAACATTCCTATGTAGATTACTTTTTTCAAAATTTTAATCAAAGATATCTCGACAACCATCTAACTAAATTCGATAAATTTTATTTATTTATTTATTTATTTAGATTCACAGATTTCAAAAATTCAAATAAAAATTTTTCACAGAATTTGGTTGGGTGGTTGTTGAGATACTTTCGATCAAAGTCATGAAAAAAATTTCATTAAATTTAGTTAGGGATCAAAAGCTTTAAAAAAACCCGATTTACATAGGAGTGTGGCACTGGTGTGGCAATACGTATCAATTTAGGAGTGTGGTCAATTTCCGTAATTTATTAAAACAGTACGTATACGTACGTAGTTGACATGTCACTTTGTTTGGACTAAAATTACAGTTCTATATTTTAAAAGGAAATTTCTCAAATTAGATCGCATGAAAGATTAACCTCCGAAAAAGGTAAACCCTTCTCTCCAAAAAAGGTTATTAATTTCTAAAAAAGATTACAAATTTCGGAGAAAAATTCTAAGATAACCTGGTTAAGTATATCTTGTTTGTACAATAGTACGACTACGTATTATATTGGCCGCATAAACAAAGAATTTCTTTAAATAATTATTCATTCAGTCACATATTAAATAATAGTGTTACAATAGAGTATTCCATACGCACAATGTCGTATACAAATTAGACGCAAATTTTGTGAATAAAAAAATACTGGCCTTCATATCATTTACACATTTTGTGCCTAACAAAAAGGTTTGATATATAATAATTAATAAAATACACTCTTTTGTAGAGTTGAACGTGATTATTAACAAAGTGTAAATTCAGGGGAAGTTTACTGTACTTCTACGTACTAATCTTAGTGAATAGTATGTATACATTATTGGGCAAAAAATTTTAAATAACGGTAATTTGCCCAATATTGGTGTAATCCGGAAATTTATAATCATGATTGGTAGGGAGTTGTCAGCTGAATACCGTTACATCATAACACATTTAAAAAATAACGGTTTATTACAAAACTATCCTTAACGTTAAATTCCGAGAACCAAACACATGATTATCGTTATAATTATATGGGGTATTGTTTTTTTTAAAAAAAAAATGTTAATCTGCCTGATTTCGGAAAGACTTAGACCAGAACACCAGTTTTTATTTATATGAAAATAATCTTTTATCTTACCGATATAATAGAAATACGACTTACATATAACTGGTATTCTGGTCTAAGTCTTTCCGAATTGACCCGTTCGGAAAATCCCGAAGGGCGATTTTCCTAGCAATTTAACAAAGTGAAATCGTAAGACATGAGTTTTACACATGTTGTATATTGTAGAACCCTAACATGACCTCATGCTACGTATATTATTAAATTAAGGTTAACTACTTATTTACTACGTACGTAATACTGTGTAATACATATCTGATATTTACATAATTATCATAAGAATCATATACATATTTATATATTTATAAAAATTATTCTTGAAAGACTTTCGCTTCATCTAATAATCTCTTATACTCCTCTTTGATCTCGGCTGGTTCTTTAGCCCACGAATTAATTGCTAAAGGCATAATCAATTTTTCCGAAATATTATAACTTTGTAACTCAAATTCTCGACAAAAACACCGTTTATATACGTCAAAAGCTGTTGGAATCTTTGTTATTCTTTTACTATATTTGTTGCAAGAGAACAAAATTTCCGAGTAAATGTCTTTAGGTGTTATTCTTGGAGGGAAATGAGGTTTGAATTCTTCTGCTGTTCGTGTTGACATACTTTTAATATGGAACCCGTCCGTAGTTTATCTTTCCCTATTCGTGTGATATTGAATTATTATTGCGAAAAAAAAAAAATAGTAAAATTTAGATAAATATCATCAAATTGGATCTTTTTATAATTTTTAAAGAATTATTTATTGTTTTCCATAATCAGATGGTCTTGGTTTTTTGCTGCCATATCATGTGAATATATCTCGCATTTTATTCTTAATTTTTCTATGATAAATAATGTCATGTGTTACATCACGAATAATAAATTTACAAAGAATTATTATTATTTTCATAAATATAATCTATTATCTACTATGAAAAAAAAACTATGATGATTTATTCAAGTGACTCATTTTGAATGATTTCTATGATAATATGCAAAATAGATTTGTTCTGTAACACTGTTACATTATTATTAAATGGCGATGCCCGCTGGCTGGATCAATCCGAAGTTTTAAAATAATATCATGTTTCATAATTATTTTTTGGTTATTTTTGTCACGTGATACACAATTATCCACTGAAACGTGAGTACTGCATCAAAATTCGTCCAAATTTGATTGAAATACTGTTTAATAACTAATGTCGTGCTCAAATCGTTTTCAGGATAGAATATATTGTTTACTAAGGTTACAATGACTACTATTAAATAATCCTGTGTAATCTTCTATATGTTCTTTATCAGAGATAGATAGAACATCACAAATGATTGTATCCTGTAATAGAGGTTGGAGCTATTGCTTTTTTGCAATACAGTTTTAATAGCTTCTTAAAAATTGTAATCAGAGAGAAACTTATTATAACGATATATAAAATTAGGGATGCTAAATGGCTCAACGGCTCGGCTAATGGCTCTTACGTTTAGTGATTTGAACCGGTTTGTCTATAATCGGTTAACCGACCCGAATTGAATAAATTTCGGGTAACCGGTTGAGTAAATTCTTAATCGGTTGACCCGTACAACCGGTTGAGTATCGGTAATCGGTTGACAGGATGTAAATGACGGAGCAAAGGTCTGAGAACTTCCGAAAAGAAAATGAATGAAATAAAATTTTGAGTAAAGGTCCGAGAACTTCCGAAGGTAAAGTGTGTAGTAATCTTAATCGGTTGCAATCGGTTGACATTAAATATTTCGGTTCGGTTACCCGACTAAAGAATTTTTTCTCGGTTCAAATCACTACTCATAAAAATAATAATAAAAAACCATGTAGTAGTTAAGAGTCTTAACTACTACATGGTTTTTTATTATTATTTTATGAGTTTTTTTTTAACTTTTTTTTTAATAAGTTCATAAACAGATGCGTTAGTTTCAACATTTTTTTACGTAAGAGCTACATATACATGAATAATAATAATATTGAATAAGATTATATTAATAATAATGAAAACAAATATATTGTTACGGGGGGATTGCATAATTCTTTCGTAAATGACTAAAATCAAAGAAGTATAGGGAAATGTAACTCATGATGTTAGGATTTGGAGTATAATTATTCTTATGTACCCCTGCCTCGCACATAGAAGTCATAACCAAACCACTCCTACTGTAAATAGTTTCATTGAGCATATAAAAGGAGTCTTTCCTTACGCCATCTGCTATCGTAAATGATTTAATGAATGATTATTCTCGCGTCATTTCTTGTGGGCTTAGGCCAAACAACTTGTCTGTTAGATCTAAATTTGGTATTTTCACATTTTATATCAATTACACATAAACAATACATATATGTAACAAAATCAGCTTAGGGCAGCTCCCTCAATGTAATTTGAAAATGATCGAGATGTTGCTCATCATTGAAACAGCTAATTATTTAATTGAAGTTCTTTGTAACGATATGCTGAAAATTCATTGTGCGAAATACGGATTTTAAATTTCAGCCAATTAATTAGAGACAGGCAAAGTAATAATGTATTAATTACACTTACGTATTATTACCAATTATTGTTTATTATGTAGTTATGATTACGATTTTCAAATATAAAATTTTAAACTCAATAATTTGTTGATCAGATTGACTATTTTGCATACATCATAATTCTTTACTTATTATGTAAAAATAATATGTTAATAACTTTGCCCATCTCTACAATCAATTTAACCCCTATGAAAAAAAAATTGGTGTCTTTAACTCCAGGTTTTTTTTCGACTTAAAAGCACAATCAATTTTCTCAGCCAATCAGGTCATCCGGAAGGAGGCATTTGAGAACGGCTTTGTTATAACCTTTATTTTAGGTTACATCATATCGTAACATTCGCGTATGTTGTGTCCAAATATCAATTGGTCTAAATATCAACCCAAACAAATTTAGTAAGAACACTTAAATAATTGACAATTGGGACAAATTTATATTTGAAAGAAAAACCAGGGTTGGCAATAGAGCTCAACGGAGCTTTTAATAGATCCGATAGATAGTAGTTTATTAGAGCTTAATTGAATTCATTGACTCCGTTGACAACATATGTATGTAATTATTCAGGGATGGGCAATGTAATTTTTTATGTAATCAATATGTGTTTTTAATCCTTACATATCGATATTGATTACATTTTACATAGCGTTGGCGGTAATTAAATTCATTGCCCCCGATGTTCATATATCACAAAAATTTTTATACTTTTTTTTATGAATAAATCTAAATAACTTCGAAATAAAAATTTTAAGATCCTGGTTACTAGTAGTGATTTGAACCGAGAAAAAATTCCTTAGTCGGGTAACCGAACCGAAATATTTAATGTCAACCGATTGCA